TCATGTTGGGAATCGTTATCCAGGGGTCTTTATAGAGTAAACTGGTGCCATTCGGATAATAACAGTCCTTTGCTATGAATTGCAAGACTCGCAATTGGCCCTCCAGGGATATGCTCGTGATATTTATGGCTGAGTGTCGTAAGAATGCTTTGGGAGGATTGTAGTGGGTGTCATTACAAGTGACGAAGAAACTCTTACTGAGGTAACAGTCTTCTGTCGTGCCAAAAGGGAAGGGAATACTAACATTTCCACAACGATCCATACAGTTTGGCTTCGCTATTGGGAAATTTACATCTTTGGTGGAACTTGAAATTGATATTGAGAAAAATATAAGCAGAATTGCCCGAATGAATTGGGTTTTCAGAAAATGCAATCCAATGGGCATTTTGCAATTTTTCCTGGGTTGTATATTTGTATTGTACGTAGTAACAGAATAAAACATATTTCAATAAGAGATATTTATATAACTTGCAAATTCTCACATTGGGAATTAACGCGTAAAAAGTCTATTTGTAAGTTCTTTGAACAAATCAATTTCTTTAGTCCTCCTTCCAAGTTTGAACAATATCCTGTGGGCTATAGAATTGTAATGTGAAGAATAAATAGGTTCCATGGAAATCTTTATGTCTAAATACAGGTACAATTTTTATTGAGAAAAATATAATTGGGTTTTCAGAAAATGCAATCCCATGGCCATGGAGACTTTCAGATTGTTACTTTTCCTTGGTTTTGTATGTAGTAACAGATCTACTAGAAGTGAATGTAGTGTGTTTGAGATACATTCTTTTGAAAGAATGTATTATTGAATAGTAGATTGATGGAGAATGTGTAGTTAAAAATGAAGGAAAAGTTGTTGATGTGATGAAAAATATTATTTTATTAAGAATGTGTGGTTGAAAATGAGTAAAAGAATGAGAATAAAAAAAATATAACATGCAGAGTCTCCTCTTGGCAAGTCACTGCAAAGTCTCCTCTTGATATAAAAAGTCTATTTGTAAGTTGGTCGGAGAATTAATTTCTATAGTTGCCAAGTTTGACGTGGAATGTCCATCTTTAAAGCCGTTGTTTCAAATTATGAAAACTTCCAAGTGGGTGTTTGGTGGACATTAAGATTAGATTTTTAGTAAATTGTGATAGAAGTTTTTAAAATGTGTGGCTGAAAAGCTGTGGAAAGATGTAGTTAATATTGATTATTTGACTTTGATTTAGATTAAAATCTGATTTTAATACGAAACAAATAAGGCCTAAATATTTAATTAAACTATTCTTTTCCAAATACTAAATTAGTCATATACTATTGTGAAGAATAAATAATCAACCTATAGCGTGGAAACTTCTATCTTTAAATAATTGATTTTCGAGATGATGACTTGTTCATTAACTTAGTTCTTATCTCAATTTTTCATAATAAACGTGTCATCAACCTATTAACTTTATGATAAGTCCTAATAAGCTGCACAAAATTTCTATTTAGCACACAAATAACGATTTTGGTTTTTTAAAAAAAGTAAAATTATAGCCTTATTTCAGTTAAATGAAAAATAGATCCATTTATTTAGTAGTTACTTTAGTTTTTCTATGATTAAAAAGGTGGAGGGCATAAAAATTGGTAGTCGTGGAACTTATAAGTCATTGAACCCTCTTTTCTGACATTGCAGTTAAACTTGACGAATGCTGAGCTAATTGACATCTATCATGACAAAAAATACTGTTGACCTCACTTTTTGTAGGGGTGCCATGGCCGCTCCTCGCACATTCATGTAGCTCATTCCTACACACTTGGACAAATTGTTAGAGTGTACGACCGATCTCCGTTGGTGGGAGAGGCGGTTGCACTCATTTCGAAGATCAAGTCAGCATATGTAAGAGTATATATTTAGGTGTAGTGATGGCAAAAAAA